ATTGACCATACATAGGCTAGGACTTTGAAAGGAACTAACTATATCATACATAGAGACTTTCCGCAAGAAATAAGGGTTAAACGGTTGCGTTTAGTGGCGGTACGAGCAGAAATAGACAAGTTAGTTGGAGGACTTAAGATGCCACTTGTCCATGATCACCTGTACGTGAAGGGCACGCGTTTTACCTGGGAAGACAACACACTGAAAGCTGGACAAGTTGAGGGAGCCCGAGAACTGATGAAACTATTCCGACATGACTTCTCAGACTTCCTCACCAAACTGTCTCGACGGGGCACGGAGAAGGGTGACGACGAAGAGGAGCCACAACGGATGACGTGGCAAACATATGCGGAGGCTGCAGCCATGGACACGGGCACGGGACCTAGAGAGACATTGCCGGGGGCACCTGATGCGGCGCAGACCACGACTCCTCAGCAGGTCGTCGTGTGAGAGGACTATGCCAAACCTTCTGAGAACCAACAGCAGGACGAAGACAGCGCTGTGCAAGTAATGGGACATGGTATAGGAACCTTTAAGGTACTTTCATATAATATATGTGGGCTGAAAAATAGAATTATTGATGGTAGTTTAGTTGATTTTTTATGTAAATATGATATATTTTTCCTAACAGAAAAATTTTTAGTTAAATCAGACGAATTTTTTGTTAGAGACAATAAAAATGTTTTATGTTGTTTATTAAATATGCTGAAAGGATAGGTAATGTTGGCAGATATAGCGGAGGTGATATTATTGGGTTAAACTTGAATTCACCTTTTCAAAAAAATTTGACTTTTGTTGATGAACAGGAACTAAGTTATGTAAAGGCGAGTTTCAATGGTGTTCAAAAATCCCTAAATTTCATACCTTTATATTTGAATTACAATAAGTGGGAACAGAGTTTTAGTGAAATTGTTGAATATTTAAATAGTAATGAAATTGGGAATTTAATATTTTTTGGAGATCTGAATGGACAAATAGGTGATGAACAGGGTTTTGAAAATGGTGAAATTAAAAATGTAAATAGTTATTTATTTAGATTGTGGTAGGAAGTCAAAGGACAAAACCATAAACAGAAGGGGGAATAAGCTATTAGATTTGTTTGACGATAGAGGATTAATCGTTCTAAATGGAAGGTCAGCTAGTGATAAGGAGGGTGAGTTTACTTTTATAGGGGCGATGGGCTCGTCTGTTATAGAATTGGCAACTGTGTCATTGGATTCCTTGCATTTAGTGAAGGACTTTAGAGTAGTTCCATATCCAGGGTCTGATCACCTACCGATCCAAATTATTCTATGAAATAAATAGTAACATAGGGGAGAGGAGAGAGGTTAATACGTCAACTTTGTTACCAAAATTAAAGTGGTCGGATGAGGACCAATCGAAATACAAAAGTCGGGTATTACTTAATTTGACCAACGTTCAGATAGGAAATGATAATCAGGATAATATAGACAATTTGACCAAGTGCATTGTTCGATCGGCAAAACATAAAACTCATACAGCGGTAAAAAATAGGTTTGTAAACAAGCAAAAGTGGTTTGATTTTGAGTGTTTAGCCGAGAGGAAAAAGATGTTTAGATTGCTTAGTATTTTTAGAAAAACTGATTCGATCTTGGTTAAAATGAACTATCTTACTCAAGTAAATCAATACAAAAAATTGTGCAAGTTAAAAAAGAAGTTATATAACGACAAAATTATTTCAGATTTGAACAATAATAATACAGATAGTAAAGCTATGTGGCGAGCAGTTTTAAATTTTAAGAGAAAGTGTAGTAACGCAGTAGGAAATATAACGACGAACAAATGGATAGAGCATTTAGCGCCTTGCTTAACCCCCCGCTTGTGGCAGGTGAGATGAGCTATGCAGAACCTTTCATAGAACGACCGATTAGACAGCGATTTCACCTTGGTAGAGATAAAGAATGTATTGGCCGTGGTCAAGGCAGATAAGGCCCCAGGAGTTGATAGAATTCCTTACGAGTTTTTCAAAAACGCACCTGATCATTTTCTAAACACATTATTATCAGTCTATAATAACATTTTCAAAAGCAATAAAATCCCTAAAAGTTTTAAGGAGTCCATAATTTATCCATTACACAAAAAAGGCAATATAGATTTAGTGGAGAACTACAGAGGTTTATCTTTCATAAATTGTGTAGCTAAATTATTTACCAGTATGTTAACAAATCAATTACAAAATTGGATCAATGATAACAATATTCTAACAGAGTTTCAAGCAGGTTTTCGGAAGGGTTACTCGACAATTGATAATATATTTAACCTAAGTTGTATGGTCAAGCTAAGGCTGGCGCATAAACAGGGCAAACTTTACTGTTTTTTTGTTGATTTTAGTTCTGCGTTTGATACGATTGACCGCAAGGCATTGTTCTACAAACTGTCAACGCTGGGAGTATCTACGCGCGTGATTGATAATATTAGGAGTTACTATGACGAGACTTTTGCTAGTGTGTGGTGCAAGGAGGGAGTTACAAACAGTTTTATTACAGGGACAGGTCTGAGGCAAGGATGTAATCTCTCACCTACCCTTTTTAGCCTATTTTTAAATGATTTGCCAGAAGCTTTAGGAGGAGGGTGTAGCTTTAGCGGGGAAAAAGTAAATTTATTAATGTATGCCGACGACATTATACTCCTCTCGCCGACGGGAACTGTCCTTCAACATATGATAAACAAATTAGAGGCTTATTGTAATACATGGAACCTAAACGTTAATTTAAAAGAATTTAAAATTTTGATAATTTAGGAATGGTGGAAAGATAAAAAAAGAGGACAAGTGGTGGTACAAGGGTAAACAATTGAAGTAGTTAATCAGTACAAATATTTAGGAAAAAATTTGACAAGCTCACTATCATGGACCTCACACTAAAAAAAAAAAGTGTAAAATGGGTAAATTTGCTCTAAATTCAATTTGGGACAGGCTGATTTCTAATAGAAATGTACCAATAACTTCCAAAACTGTTTGCTTTGAGTCGATAGTTAAGGCTATAATTTGTTAGGGGGCACAAGTATGGGATTTTATAGATAGTGAAATTGTCGAGTCCGTCCAAAAACTGTTTATAAAAAGATTGTTCAGATTGCCTTCTAACACTCCTAATTACATACTATATATAGAGACAGGTGCTGATAAAATATAAATTATATAGTTAGAGTGTTATCTTTGCCTAATAATAGATTGCCTAGAATATTAGCAAAACAGGTTATTGAAAAACATATATTTTGGTGCAGACATTGGGAAACCGTTGGGAAATCTCATGGCTTAAAAATAAATTTTGAAACTCAGGATGTCAGCACATTGGCGATACAGTTAGGATCGCTGGCAGAAGCAATTAAAATCAAATGGAAGGAAGAATGTGTAGGCCGAGCTAGGACATCTGTTTATCACAAACAGCTATTGCGAGTCGACCTTGAACTAGGAGATAAGAGTCCCCTTGCCTTCAGCGAGGTTGAACTAATTTCTTGGGCAATTAAAGCTACGGCAGAGCTGGTAAATCTAAATTATAAACCCTGGACCGAACAAAATTTTATTTGCTCATTATGTAATCTTGAAGAGTACGAAACTACCTTTCACTTCATTGCCGTCTGTCCAATTTTGGGTAATATTAGAAGGTCTTGGTTAGGAAGCAACATTTTGAGTGAAGTAGAATATTATCAATATCTAAACGGGAAGGATTGGCGTGTCTTCACAAAATACCTTAGAGAAGCTTGGAAGTTTAGATGGGAGCTTATAAGTGAGTTTAACGTCTAAATTTTAGGTAAATAAACAGAAAAAAAACCTTGAAACTCGTTTACTTTTATCTGATACCCTTAATTCTGTAGGCCTATTATGTTTTGTTATCTATTGAGTACTCTAATTGTGTTTTTATTATTATTTTATTTATTGTATAAAAAATGTTCATTTCTTTTGTGCTAAATGTTTTTAAAGACTCATATTCATTTTAGAAGGCAAAGATTGTGTCAACCAAACAGGCGGTTGTTATCAACCATTGTTTCAAAGTGTTATGTTTTTGGATGTACATAATACCTTATCGTTTAGTAAAGCACTTATTCATTTCATTTCAATAATAATAATAAATGATTATTAAAGCTAACCCCATGGCCGTAAGGAAAACTTATATGTTCCTTTTAAATTGATATGTCCCTCTGGTTTCATGATTTAAAATTTTCTAAGAGCAATAAAGCATAGATTTTTGAACAAAAAATTTAAAACTCATCATAAATTTATCATCTTGTTAAACTATAAAAACTTGCCATGCAGTGGAGAATCAATTTAAAATCATAAATAATGATGTAAACATTTAATTTGGACAGTTTCAGTAAATTCTCATAACACTTGACCTATGAATACAATTTTAATATTAACAGCTGGGTCATTAAAAGTTATGTAAAACTATGGCCGTAATTTAAACAAAACTGCTGAGAGAACTTTAAAGGCCTCTAGAGCAGATCCCCATGGAAATTTACCTCGTTTCTCTTTTGATGGCTCATGTACAGACCTAGACCTTTCTTTAGAAACCCCTACCAAGTTTCTACGCCCAGCCGTTCTCTGAAATTAGCTGTGACAAAAACCCGTTTTTCCTCCATAAGAATAACATGGGATGGGAATTTAAAGGCCACTGGGGCAGACCCCCAAGAGAATTTACCAAACTTCTCTTTTGATGGCTCATCTACAGACCAAGACTTTTCTCTAGACACCCCTACCGAGTTTCTACGCCCAGCCGTTCTCTCAAATTAGCTACGACAAAGAAAAACTGTTTCAAATTAATATATAGATAGCAGCCTGTTAATCAAAGGGGTATGGATTTAAAATTAAAGTCTTCCCCACTAACTTCCACAATAAATCTTTTGAGCCTAAAAGTAATACTGAAGAAGTAACTCTGTGTTAATTTTTAACCATGGTAAAACATTTTTATTCAAACAAATTCCTTTTAATTTGCTTGAATAAAATTATAAAAAAAATAATCATAGAAAACTAAATGTTTTAGGTTCCAGAGGCATTTGACAAGCTCATTGCTAGTGTTGAAAGAGCTTTAAGCCATGCTATTGAAGAAGAAGAAAAGATTCCTTTATCCACGGTAACAAACTTTGAAGAGATCGCTCTAGACATCAAAGCAAAGCTGGCAGATTTGAGAGAAACTCCTTGTCGAATGGAAAACCCAATTATTTACCATTTGGATGTAGGTGAGTTGTCAAAAGAAATTGGTTTTTGTTTAAGGAAACTTCACAAATAATTTGTTATTTAATTCTATCTGCTCTTATAGTAGCACTGACCAGTTCCATTTGCTTTGTAAACAAAGAATAAATATTTTAACAGATAGGAGCTATGTTTAAGGGTAGTATGTGATCATTGTTAGAAATAAGCCCAACGTTTTGTTAATGCTTGGTCAGGTGCGATGTACCCCAACATCATCTTGACCAACCGATTGCAGCCATCTGCCATGGTGGACGAGACAACGTGCGCCGCATGTGACTTCAACAGACCTGGCGCTACCTGTCAGCGACACATGACTTGGATGTGGCGTGGAGAGTTTAGTGAGTATAGTTAACATCTTCTAGCATCACTTTGTACTGTGCAAACAATTTACACTTAAATCAGCTAGCTCTCCCTGCCATGTTTTACTGTAGCATAAATTTGGAAAAGTTAAAGATTGCATTAAGAAATTAAGTCATATAGTGTACACAAACTTACCATTCTATTGTAGAGTTTGTGAAAAAAGACATAAGCTTTATAAATAGCATAGATCAAAGAAGCTAAATTTTGAATATTTATTAGTAGGTTTCTTAGTCATATCGAAACAAACGTAAGTGACGCAAAATTATTGTAGATTGAGAACCTATGATTTAACCAATCCATGATTTAAAAGGTTTCTCACTTTACCATAGATCTTCCAATATTCTGCTTTCTAAATAACAGACCTTTAAATGAAATAAAAACCTATATATTGACTCTCTCAAAATTTGTCCAAAGTGCCTGCAACAAGAAACGAGTTTGAGCGGATCAAGCAGCAGCTAGAGACAGAAAAGTTTCCACCCTTGTTCCCTAGCGGACCTCAGCGAGCATTTCACCAGCTCGGCCGAGAGGAGCAAGCTGCCATAGAGAAGAAGAGGCTTGCAGAGTATTGCCGCAAGGCTTACAAAAAGACACATGTGACTCGCGTGGAGGAGCGCACCACTACCATCTGTCAGAAGGAGAACTCGTTCTACGTTGACACTGTGAGGGCATTCAGGGATAGAAGATACGAGTACAAGGGATTGAACAAGGTATGCACCTTCAAGTTGAAGAAGACAATTACTAGACAATATCATAGCTCTCTGTCTTTCAAATTTTATTTATTTATGAGATGAAAAAAGGATTACAAACTTCTTAATCAGGACTTCTTAGGGGAATAATATCTAATCTTATCTATTGTAACTGTACGTACATACTATACTACTCGTGAAGTGTTAATCTAGAGCGTTGGAACATTATCACATGGATAAAATCCATTTGTGATGGGTGGGATTTGAAATTGGAACCTTGTTCTCCGAAGCCCCGAGCTCTACCACTAGACCGGCTCGCTCCCATTATATTTCTAGTATGGATGTGTTGATTCTAGATTCCGATTTTCTATACCACTGATACTTGGCCATTGAAGTAACTGAAGTAAGAAACTGGTAAATTATTTCCCCAACCAACACAATGTCTAGTTGTTAAAAAAAAATTTAAATACATATAAAAGCATTCAGTACGATGACAGTGTAGTTGCCAGCTGTTCACTGGAGGTTATGATGAAGTAATGGCAAAGAGCATCTTTTTTTATCAGCTTCAAAACTAGTTATAAGATGGATACAACTCTTGCAAAGTTTTTTTCTGAAACTAAAATTTGGATTATCTCAGAGTAAGATTATTGTCTTTTCATTTACAAAGTTAACGTCCACAATATCAATCATATCAATCATTAGTTTATCTCAGGCTCAATCCAATTTTCTTAGTATATTTTAAAGCTCTTCCAAAGAATCAAAAGACCCAGGCCTGGACCTAATTATTTAGGAGGGCCTATATATAAATTGATTAGGTTACAATGAGGGTAGCAAAATAACTACAGTATCTAGTTCATAAGATTTAGATTGCCTTCAACACAAAAAAAAATACAGGAAACTAAAAAAATTTAAGCTTTATCAGTATAAGGCCACATAACAGCCACATCTAACAATATAAGACAAGATACAGAACATGCAATTACATAATTTGAGACCGAGTAGGCTTGAATAATGAAAAAGATTATGCAAACAACAACAACAACTATGCTTGTGGTTGTCAATAGAAAGATGAAATATCTATAACAAATATTTAAACTTATAAAATAAGATTGTAGATTAGTTACAAGTTTAATATGTAGCCATAAACAGTTTTATGGCAGTAGGCAATGGCCAGCGGCAAATTGAATATCCACGAAAATACTGACTGAGTTAGAGATAACATTTAACAGTCGTCATAAAACTATTACTTTTATGATAAAATAGAACTGGAGAAAGTCGTAAAGCAATAAAAGTGATAAAACTCAACAGTTCCTGGAAGTACTTGAATACAACAATTATTGTCGTGATAAAATGTTAATGGATTTGGGACTGCTAATGGGGTTTTTATTGCATCATCACCCTAGTAATAAATAATGAAGATCGTAAACAAACATCTGATAAGACTTTTATGTGCTCCGAACCAACTGTCGTTGACTACGATAAACTGAAAGTAAACTGAAAGTAATTTATTATTATAATAGGCTGTACCGAACCGAATTTGTACCGTGTAAAATGCTGTACCGAACCGATGACGGTAATTAAGCTTGTACCGTACCGTACCGACTTTTTCGGTGCACCGCAGACCCCTACTGGAAATATAACATTTTAATTTTTCTACAAAAAAGGTTCCGACAGATATATGTTCAGATGACAGTCAAACTTCTAATACTATCTAAGCCTCGCACCTTCTGACACATCTATAGCAACAAATACATCCTTTAGTTTTGACGATTTAACAAGTAGCTTAACCATGCAAACTTTGGATTCTTCTGTAATCACTATAAACAATGACAGTGTTTTGAAAAACCAAGAACGGATTCGAGAGGAATTGCTTGGTAAAAAGTGGCTGTCTGACATTTCTCTCCAGCCATATTTACTAGAGATGTGCGAGTACTCGATATTTCGAGTTCGAGTCGAGTACGGCCTTGAAACTCGAGCTTATCTTTGAACTCGGCAGTTTCGAGTCGAGTTTGGTTTAAAATTGTTAAAAAATCAATATTTGTTAAAATGTAACTTGTGTTTACATAAAATGCTGGATAACTTTTATTAGGTACTGTAGATTCTACAGTAATACAAATATTTTTACAGTGTAGAAATAAGCAAGCGGTAGTTGTTCTAACCTATTTTAATAGCTGTTACAACAGAATAAGTCAACTCAAAGCAGTCGCCCACTGACTGACTTACTGGCAATGGAAAACAATAGAAGCGAGGAAGGGGTTGTGCCATGACCTCGAAGTGAGCCATAGCAATAGTGAATGAAGTAGGGGTTTGGGGGGAAGGGGCAGGGTCAGACCTTTGAGCTATATTTAGACTAGGCTTTCACCACTTCCCAAATGGCCGGGTAGGGGGATTACAAATTACAATAGCAGGTTTTTTCCTCGCCTGGTTTGACTTTTGTCTTTTTTGTGTAGGAGATTTGAATCATCAAAAATGTAATTTGAATTTACCACAATTATTTAGCATTGATAATACAATCTGCAAGGGACCAGGAGAAATATTATTCAAATTAGAGTTAATGTCATGATTTGCATTTTTACTCAAAATACAACATTGCGCAATCATGATGTATTGAGTCATTGACCTTTATAACGCATCTGTTATAAGTCGATAATTATAAATTGATGTTCCCGTGGTTGAAAATAATTATTCTGTAAACTTTTAAAACATAGACAATTCATAAATAAGTATAAAATCACACATAAAGATAATAATAGCACTCCTAATAAGGATATAAAGATAAGGACATACAAAAAACATCATTATACTTTCTCTTGTTCTTCCATTCTTTCTTGGGGAGAATAATAGTGAATTAGGCCTAGTCTAGATTTCATTTGAGTTCTATAACTACTATTGTATGGACCTATTACATTATTCAGTACAACGTTTAATCTACAATTATTGTTTTGTTTAACCATAGATAAAGCATACTCCCTTAGTAGATTTCTCATCCTTATGGAACAGCTGAAGACAATTTTATTGTTAGTTCTGTACGGTTTATGTAGAGGTCGTGTTTTGTTTACAATTTGTTTCCTGTTATTACAGCCATTTAAAACCTCATTTAACCAAATAATACGATCTAATCATAAACAATAACCTGTCCCCTAGTTATATAACCAAACAGTAAAGCACAAATCAAGAAATTAACCCTAAAATAATAGAAACAAAGTTTCGTCGACACTAGCGCCCATGTGTCACGTACATGAACTAGACACGAAAAACGTGCTTCAAAATTTACATTAAAAAATTTAATTTTCTTTAATTTAAAAAATTATTTCTCCTTTACCTACTGTCAAACCATTGGAAATTTCGTAGGCCTACTGTTATAAAAACCACACCAACTAAGATTAATGTTAATAAACTTACAAAACTAAAGGTTAAAAGGTAGGAAATAAAATTTCAAGTTGCAGAATAAATCTCTATATTAAACTTTATTGTAATTGCAGCCTTAATAACTAATATATGCAAGTATTAAGTAATTTTAGCCAAGTTTATGCAATATTACTTATCAGTAGGGATCAATGTAATTAATTTGTAGATAAATAAATATATGCTCACTTACCTATTTTTTACAGAAGTATGAATAAGTTCATTTATGAGCTCTATTGTTGTTGTTTTAAAATTATTTTCTACACATTGATATGTTACTGCACAAATATTGATGATTTATTTTTATAATCCTACTTCGGCTTGTAACAGGGTTGTTTTACAAGTTACATGCTCTAGCCCTAGAGTTACTTACACATCCTTCGATCTCTTTGGTTTAAACTTGACTCGAACTCGAGAATCAAATCTTTTGCCAATTACTCGACTCAAACTCGACTCGACCTGAAAAACCTGTTTCTTGCACATGAAATGAAATGCTTTATTTTCCATTAGGCATGAAATGCAATAGGCATCATCAGAACAAATAAAAATATATAATTTTCGTAAAAATTAAAAATAAAATGCAAAAATCACAGAGCAAACAAAACCTAAAACAAACCATGCACAAAACTACTGTCAAAACAAAACAATCTGTTACTTACGTACATAGGAAAAACTCTCTCACAGTCTCCTTGGGAATATCGAAGAAACCGCTGGTCTTATAAAGTGGGAAAGCCAATAAAAGTGCCCGGAGATTGTTTTTGAATTTTCTGTTGGTTTGGTTCCAAGCTGTACAAGAAATGTGGTTAAGAAGCCTTATGCTTAACTGACTGGAATTTCTTTTTGTTTTGCTTAACCTAACATAAGGTACATCAATATTGTTCTTATTTCTGGTATTGTACATATGATAATCACCCCTACGACTAAGTAACTGGAGATCATTTTTTACATGCACAACTGAAACAAAAACATACAAACTACAAAAAGTCATGATTTCCTCATTTACAAAGAGAGGTCTGCAAGGGGCATCATACCACAGAAAACATACTACTATAACCCAGAATGCCAACCGCATGGTAAAAAGCATTAAGTGTTTTGAGAGAGCTTTGCCTGTCAATCGTAGGCAGCGCCACCAGCGTTACCATGCACTCAGCATAGCAACGCTGGTGGCGCTGCCTACGATTGACAGGCAAAGCTCTCTCAAAACACTTAATGCTTTTTACCATGCGGTTGGCATTCTGGGTTATAGTAGTATGTTTTCTGTGATCATACTCAGCGTTTGCTAGGATTCTTACAGCTCTTTTTTGTATTAGCAATACCTCATTAATTTCAGCAGACCCACCCCAGAGTCTGAGCCCACACAAAAGAACTCCTTGAATAAAAGCTACATAGGTTTTTTTTAAACAGTTTTTATTTAGACAACTTTTTAGATTTCTCAAAAGGAAGATAACTCTGGAAAGTTTACTGCAAACCAAGGTTATATGAGGGCTCCAAGTCAGTTTTGTATCAATGCAAATACCCAAGAGCTTAACAGAGGTCACATCTTGTTTAATGTTTTTCAGCGTAAAGACCAAAGATTGTGTTTTGGTTTCATTGAGAGACAAAAAGTTAGCATGGAA